GCTTGAGGAGTCTTGAAACTTCCTTTCTCCACCACATGAGTGGATTGAACATTTTCAGAAGCTGCCATAGAGTTGATCCTCTATTGTTGGAGTTATTGAGATGTGAGTGAAGATGCATGAGTGGACAATTTAGATCAATGTTGTAAAGAGCTGCTTGATAAAAAAATCGTATCTTGCAAACCAATCTTTAAGTCTGAGTAATTACGGATCATGAAGGATTTTATTTTTAAAATCAAGAACTTTAGAAAAAGATGAATTCTCCATACGGACCTCAAAATTATATCTTCTAAGATGGAAGTTGAATTTTTGCATTCCATACTTTACCGTAAGAATCTCCTTGTAGATGGTGTGATAGTGTTTTTTTTTATTCTTTGAACTGGCCACTGGCATGTCTACAGTAGTGTTTATTGTGTTTATCTTTTTCTATGAGAATGACCCTCCAATAATAGTCACGTGCATCTGTCTGCAAGACTCTTTTTCCTGTTCCTGAAATTTTCAGAGGTGGAGATGACTGAGCAATTTTTTTTAAAGCGATGACAGCGACTGTCTATTATGTCCCCCACTAAGAATGATTCTTTTTTAGCATCTTGGACAGCTAGCTAGTGTATTCACTTACGTGCAAAATAAAGTCTCTAAGATAATTGACTATTCTCAAGAACTGTTGAATTTACTTTATAGTAAGGTTCTTATCAGGAAACGTCAATAATTCTCGAGCTATGTGTAGGCCGGGTTGAAATTTTCCTTTGGATATTTGCATCCCTAAGAATTCAACTTGAGTTTGTCCTATCTGACTTTTCTTTTCTGAGAGCATGATGTCATGCTGATCCACAATTTGGTGGAATTTGTCTAGTAAGATTTTGGAAGCTTCAGCTTCTTTTGAGAATAGTAGGATGTCATCTATGTAGATTAAGGTACTATACAGAATGAGCTCAACAATCTGGGCTATTGTTCACTGGAACAGGGATGGGGCCGTTTTGAGTCCAAATGACAAGACACGCCATTGGTACTGTGCATCTGGAATGCAGAATGCTGTTTTGAACATGTCTTTTGGATCAATCCCTAATTGCCAGAATGCTCATTTGAGGTCACACTTAGAAAAGACCTGAGCTTCATTCAGATGAGTGAATAGGGAACTAGTTCTCGGAATAGAGAACTTATTATCTTTTAGGATAAGGTTGAAAGATTTGTAATCAATGACTAGTCTTTTCTTTATGCGGACCTGTTCTGATCTCTTTTCTACATAGAAGGTCTGACAAGCCCAATCTAACGTGGGCTCAATCAATCATTGTTTGAGGAGTTGTGCACATTCTTCTCGAAGCAATGCTAAGTCTGATGAAGACATTCAGGGATAAGTAGCCTTAGTTGGGTTGATGTCTTCATTCTTCTTGAAAGACAATTATATGAAGAACTTTTGATTCTTCCACAAAGGGTTGGGATGCTGGAACTAATCATGGCTGTCAGCACAACACTTCAGCAATTTGTTCTTGATTTATTCATAATCAATTGGTGCTTCATTGATAGAAAACATATTGGGAATGGTTGAATAAGGTTTAAATTACCTTTTATACTTCAATCATGTCGTAAGGATTTGAAGATTCTTTGTTTGGCAATATACGTCTATTCCAACAAGAAAATCTTATATGGTAATGAGTTTCTAAGAATTCTTGTCCATTTGATACATCCAGAGAATAACTTGATAACAATTTTAGATTTGGTAATCACTTTTATTTTGAATACTTGATCGTCAACAGCCTTGAAATATTTAATGTGTGGTATCCAAAAATCACGTAGGAGGACTTTTGGGTTCATCATTGTTCTTCCTGCACCAGTGTCCATGTAGTCAACCAAATTTACTAGATTATCATACTTTGAAGTAAAGACTTGGACTTCAAAATTTGGTAGGGAATGAGTTAGAACAGTTATGGAGCATTGCTTCATGTTGTCGACTGGAATGTGATAATCTATTTCTTCCTCGTCTGCTTCCTCAGGGCTGAAATCATCCTAATCTGATTCTGGAATAGCGAAAACGGTTTCCATGTCTGGTTCTTCTTGTTCAGAGAACAAAGATTCCAGATTAGCATCCTCTTCATCAGGATTTGTTGAGTTGGCTTGTAGTTGTTAGATGATTCTAATTGACTTGACAGATTTCTTTGGACAATTCTTTGAATAATGTTCTTTTTCTCCACAGCTGAAACAACGGCCTGACTTTGGGCTATTACGTCTTTTCCTTCTGAAGAATCGAAATTTCCTTATTTTTTATTAAACTTGAGACCGTCTTGAGGGATCATTATGGGAACTCCTTGAGGGACCGCAGAAACACTTATTTTCTTTGCATTTGATTTGTAAATAGGGTTTTCTACATGTCTTCTTGAATTTGGATCTTTCTTTCATCATAAAATAAAATAATTCTTATGTTTCACAGAGTTTGTTGAGAACTGCTAATGCTAGTTGATGAATTTATCTAATGGAGACATCATTTAATTCTCCTTTTGTAGCAATAAGAGACCTTTGTAATTCTTGTTGTAACTCTTGAAGAAGTGAGAATAGGTATCATTGACAAAGATTAGGATCATTGAATCTATTAAGTAGTATCATCAAGACATTCTTTGATAATAAAATTCAATGTCTTTCCTTTTAAAGAACAACATTTCATTTCAAAGTACTCCTGACGTATCTACTTATCAATCAGATTGTAATTCCCAATGAACTCTTGGTATATAAGTCTAAGAATTCCTGTTGCAGTGTCTACTTTGATAAACTAAAGTTGTCTGTATCTTCCAAGACTTTGAAACCAATCTCTGAGGATTCCGGTAAATCTGGAGGCAAATTTTCCGAGGACAGCTTGTAGTTTTGCTCCGGATTTTGTCATCTGTAAATCTATTCATGCACCAAACCCATTGATTCTGTATCTCCACTGATTTGGAGAGGCATTGTCAAAAGTAAACTAGAGACCAACTGTTGGCTTAGAGAACGTATTCTCTGATCGCTGTTGGGTATCAATTGGTTCTTTAATTATAGGAGGTGATTCTCTCATAGATTCTCTCATTTCTCCATGGGTCTGTTGATCATTAGACCCTGTGGAAGTAGCCATTAACAGTTGCGTAATGTCCATAGTGGTTGCTTCTTCAAACTTTTTTGAGCTGGTTTCTGCTTCAGATGAATTGTCTGATGTCACCGATGGTTCTGTGTCTGATTCTGAGATTGAGGTTGTTTCTATTCTTGCGGAGAGAGCCATGCAAGCAGGAGGATACTCTTGGGTTTTCCTTTTGTCTTCTGCTGCAGGTTTAGACTTTTGTAGAGCATGTTCATCTTCTTCTGAGTAGAGACTCATTCTAATAGTCTTTGTTTAAATAAGTTGGCTTATTTGAAGCAGTTGGTTTTGAAGTGGATGGCTTTAACCATATTGGATCTCCGAAGATCTTATTTGTCATCTTGAAGATTTTTGAATAGTTAGACTGAGATGGATATGAGTACGAAGGGAAGAGTGAAGGATCGAACGGAGAAAGTGGATAAGAAAGTGGATCAAACATTCTCCTTTCTCTTCTATCCAAATCTTCATCGATCTGCCTAAATTCAGCTTTTAGCTTTTGGATTTCTGCTTCCTTCCTGTCAAATTATAGACTAATGTATCCTTGATTAATGAGGCTTCTTAGGTCAGAATCTAACCGCTTGATTTTTGACTGGAGATTATTGTAGAGCCTTCGTACATCATTATTGAGGCTGTTAAGTTTTTTGTTGGCAAGATTCGCCTGGGCTATAACCTTGTCAACTTTTGTTTCAATCTTCTGCAGGGCCTGAGTCTGTGCTCTAGCATTCTGAGTTTGTCAGTTTAGAACTTCTTCTGCTTGAGTTGGAGGCTTCGTTCTCCCGTCTGGTTGCATCTCTGTTGGCTGGACATATAGTCTAGAGACCACTTTAGTTGTCTAGTCCACTTGCCTTTCGAGAACTGGAAAATCTCGATCATATGATGAAAACATCATGCACAGTGTAGTTCTTGATATGGGTGAATTCCCAAGTTTTTTTTTAAAAACCCAAGGACTATTTGGATCATCAGGGTGATACTGTCTCTTGGTTATGGGATCCATTAATGAGCCATAGTGTCATCTTCTTTTAAAGCTCTTGTTGTCAACCTGTATGTGAGTTTTGTGTATTCAGCATTCTTATTTTGTGTTTTATAAAAAAAATTGGTCGCCATTATGTTATTCCCCCATTGACCGGTTGTAAGTGCACACAAGTTCCTTTCGATAAAATACCTAGTGGAGTCCACTTATATACCATAGTATTACCTCCTCCTAAGAACCTTGTAGTCGATCTACACTTCTTTGTGTTTTTTTTTTTTCCAAAAAAAATGGCATTATTAAATTTAAATAAATAAATAAATAACTTAATGGATGAAGAATGGCATGTGAAGTAACCTATATTAAAAAAAAGGAAAAAAAACCAAACAAACCGGAACCTGGACTTGCGTTGCCAATAAAGCGAAGAGAGAGGATAATCTCTAAACTATTATAAACAATTTCGGGATTACAATTACGATGCTTATCCTACTAACAGTTCCGTATTATGCGTTCAATATCAATCACAAACACTCAAAGCCTTCCATTTTGACACATATTGCGACCATCAAAAACCCACATTTTCCTTTCAAAGAAGCACATTATGTTCTTACACCTATCCTTGGCCAATACAATACCTGGAAGGCTGGAGTTCAACTAAAAAATGGCATGGAAATCAACATGGAAAATGACAAAGAATGTGAAGGAAACATACATTTTTCTCTATTCAAGTTAAACTAAGCGGTCTTTTCTGCCCAATTCTCAGCATCGGGTTCGCACAAAGCCTTATAAGAACACTTCATTTTTAACTTCTTAGCTCTTCCTGGTAAGTTATAAATCACAGCCAAAAACAACCCACAACAAGCAAATCTAAAACTGAGTCAATCTTGAGCTCCCAAACAATGATAGTCGACTCTTAAGAGCTTTCATCGTCCAAAAATAGTTAACGACTCAAATTTAGTCCAAAAGCTCTAACATAACAAGTAAAAACTCGAACCATTATATAGCGAAAAAGGGCTTCTAGTGAAAAAATATATAGTAATATTATATTATCTTTAAAGGTTTAAGGCTACAAACAAACATTTCAGCCTTGAAAGCCTCCTCTCTCTTTCTCTCTCTAACAACAAACACAAGAGGAGAAATTTCATTTTCACCGCAAGACCAAACGCAAAATCTAAACAAACAAACAATAACAAATCCTAATTAGTCAATTAATTTCTTAATTAATTAACTAATTATTGTCACCATAAGCTTGGAGAGCCTCACCAGTGAGCCTGCAAATCCGCCATTCCTGCAAGATCTTCGCCCCCATTTCCTCATAAAACGTAATCGCATTCACATTCCAATCGAGCACCACCCACTCCACTCTGCCATATCCCATCTTCACGGCCTGCTTCGCCACCGCGCTCAGCAGCATCCTCCCGAGCCCTTTCCTCCGATAACACTCTCTCACGAACAGATCCTCCACGTAGAACCCCGGCTTCCCCAGAAACGTCGAGTAGTTCGGGAAGAAGAGAACGAAGCCGGCGACGATCGCGTCGCCGCCGTCGGATCGGGAGCTCTAAAAACGGAAGATCTCCGCCTCCAGATCGTCGATCGGGAGGTCGAGATTGAGGATCTGGACTCGGGGAGGGTAGAGAGGGTTGTTAGTGTTGGTGTTGGTGTGGAGGAATGGTTTGGGGGAGACCTCGAGGACGAAGACGGTGAAGGACTGGAAGGGAGGGGAGGTGAAGAGAGTGGAGGAGAGAGAGGCCTCGGTGGCGGAGAAGAGGTGGGTGAGGCGCTCGAAGACGGCCATCTGGTGGATGAGCTTGTGGATGTGGGGGACGTCGGAGGGGTTGGCGAGGCGGATGCGGGCGAAGAGAGGGTGACCGATCGGGGTGGAGTCGGCAGGTACGGTGGAGGCGGGTGTCGGAGCGGGTGTTGGCGGCGGCGGAGGGGCGGCGGCGGCCATTGTTGGGTTTGGGTTTTAGGGAGGCGAGAGAGAAGGAAAAGTGGTTTCTGGAATGTTAGAGAGAGAGAGAGAGAGAGAGAGGTGGCTAAGAGAGTGATGGAGGAACTGGAGACTACAGAGCGATGAAAATGGGCGGGGGAAAGGAAAGGGACATTTATATATGGATGGGGTTTTGTTTTGTTTTGTTTAGGACTGTTGTTGTCCTGAGAGCAGTGAGCATTGAAAAACGATCGGTCAGTAATAATAATGATAATAATAATAAAAGTTATTACTAGGCATTGTAATATGAGGACACGTTTAGTTTATAAATTAGAATCATGTTACGATATTTAGTTGATATTCAGTAAATTAAAAATATGAAAATAGTAAGAAATAAGTCAATATGAAAAGTTTAAGAAAGTATATAGGTCAATTTTTAGTTATAGAAATTAATAAGTTATAATTTATCAAGTTATGGTTCATAACTAGATAAGTTATTGATAAACTTATCAAGTTATGGTTCATAACCAGATACGTTATTAACAAACTTATCAAGTTATGGTTCATAACCAGATAAGTTATAGATGAAAACAGTAATTTGACATATTTATTAACTTAGGCAAACTATTAGCCTATTAATCTTAATGCATCTCAAGTCTTAACCTATTTCTCTCTTTCTCCTTTAAAAATAAGATACTAGGCATAAAAAATGTCAGGCCCATATTTAAGCTCCAACCAAATGCGACGTCGCTCCCCTGTGATGGCAAGAAAAGCACGAGCACTCTTCTCATTATTTGTTAGATCTACATACACTTTCATCTGAGACCTCAAACTCATACCATCAATTTTTTCGACCTCTTGAACAAGTAAGGGGTTGAACTTTTGTAATGAAACTCAGAAAAAGTTTAAACTTGAGTTACAATTTTATTTAAATTCATGTTCTTTTGTAAAATTTGAGTTTAAACTCGAGTTTAAACTCAAATTTGAACTCAAGTTTATGACTAAACTCGAGTTCAAGTTTCCCTTTCAACTCGAGTTCATAAACTCGAACTCAAGTTAATGAACAAGTATTTTTTCTATTCTTAAAAATGTCATAACTTTTTCGTTTTAATTCTTATTGAGATGGTTTTTTTTCTATGCATCCACAATGAAAAGACGAATAAAATTCCATCCATATACCCTATTAAAATTTTTCATCACCATTGAGTTTTTATTAAAATACTATCTAAATATAAATTTAAGTTTTGACCCACCCAAACACAAACTCAAAAAGATTCTCAATTCAAATAATAAGTCAAATGCGTACATCCAAACACAAACTCAAATTACAACTTTAACTCAAGTTATAACTCAAACTCAACTCAACATCATCACTCAAATCACTCTAACTCAAAAATGTAAAAGAACAACCCATAAGTGTTCCAACTCCAGGTCCACTCTGTTTGGGCCTCGTTCAGTTCACCGATTCGAATTTCAATTCGAACTGAAATGTAACTTTATGTGAGAGCTGTAGTAAAAAAGTTAAATGTGACTTTTTATAAGAGCTTTTAACTGTAGTAAAATTGAAGTTGAAAACTCGAATCGATAAAATGAACGAGACTTGATTTACACTCACCCAATGCTGTAGCCGAGAGTCTAACCCACTTCTGATGTATCGTAGTTCTTCAACAGCATTACGATTCCCGTGTTTTCTTCTTCTTCTTCTTTGTTTGTTTCTCGGATGCAGAGAGGTAGCTACTACAAGAGCAGCAGCATATGCGGCATATGCCACCACTAGAACTGCCGACATCCTTATCAAATTTTCTCTTCGTTCCTAATAATCCATTTAGAACACACAAAACGAGTGAGTTTCATAAAGTTCTAATTGATACTTGTGTGTTTTATCTCTATCTAACTAGAATTGTAAGAGGTAATACCTAAACATAAAACTTCCCTCAAATAATTATATGAGGTAACATTACACTATTAAATTGACAGCCAAGCCACAGATACGGATGCACTAGCCAACAATTCACAGGCTATTCAAGCATAAGGAGGGGAAAAAAATAAAATAAAGAACCGATAGTTACTCAAGAACGAACTTGTATGTAGAAAGCAGAAAAATTTTCAGTAGTGAACATGTTATAGGGCCGTCTATTTTAAAGATGTTCCCATAAAGGGAAAAAAAAATGTTTTGTCCACGTTATAACGTAAACATCATAAACAACAAACTTTTCAAAGAAAAGGAATATTATAAGTGATACATCTCCATGCATATCTGAACAGTTCCTGGAAACTTTTCTAGATATTTTGACGCAGGGAGCAGAAATATAAATAATTTAGGGATATAAAAATGTCATTGAACTTGTTCCTTTAACCTTTGTATAAACTATATGCATGACAAGTCACATTGAGACTGTTTCCTGTATAAGAACTGGCTACTCCTCGAGTCACTGGTGAACAAGAAAAAACAAAAAGAAACGAAAAATATCCAAATGTGAAAAACATATCATATACTCTTGCTATTTTGTGACTGAACTACTGAGGATTCTCTGAAATGGTTATAAAACCCCAATTTGAAAGTTCTGGTTTCAGAAGCACGTTCTTTTTAAACAGTGGTTTTGCTATTGTTTTTGTGTTTGGAGAAGAAAGAAGAAGCCAAAGGGAAGCCAGGATAATATATTCAGTCCACAGAACAGAACAGGCGAAATGCTAAAAGACAAGCGCGATAGTAGCATAAGGGAAGCCTCAGCGGTGTCCAAAACGCGAAGCAAATCTACCAGGTTCAATTTTACTGGTCTTGTCATTGAGTTATTTTGAGTCAAGCAATTTACCAAACACCAGGTGCGGACAAAATTGGTGACCACAAAATTGAATTCCCAACACATCATTCACATGAACAGTTTAAACTATTTCAGTGCTCCCACGTCCAAAAAGAAAACCAAATCCTTAAAAGAGAGGAAAATTCCAGGCCCTAGTTTGCAAAATTCCGTTTCATTTGCTTCACTTGAACCATCCAAGAAGAGCACAAAACAGACCAAACAGAACAAACCTAGCCAATACATGAAGGAAGCAACTTCTCCAATGAGCAAAAGGAACATACCAAACAAGAAAACTTAACCTCAACAGAATTCAAATTGTTTCACTTTTCTACGTGCAATATATCAGCAGAAACACCAATTTGGGAAAATGAATAAACGTAAATTTCACACTAATACCAGACTTGAGCTCAAAAAACCTTTAAAAACACTACAATATTCAATTTATCAAACTTGCGAACCGAAAATTGCTCAAAATTAGGAAAATTCCTGATCAAGGTGATCCGTGGAGTCTTGACGCATCAATTGCGTTGGCGGGGGCCGCTGATCGGAGCTTGAAGATGGCGTTCCCGATCGATTGTACGGCGGTGGCAATTGATGCTGATCCCAAGGGTTTCGACGCTTTTGGCCATTCGTAAGACCTCCCATAGATTTCAGAGAGAGAAAGATGGTCTGCTGAGGTTTTCAGTAAAAAGAAGTTCGACATCAATGGACTGGAGAGGGGTAGAAAATAGGCGAGGGAAGGCGGGTTAGTTTTTTTCCGACTCCAATTTTTAATAAAATAGCACGCAGCCCCAACCTCCTTGGGATTTAACTCTCTTTTTTTTTTTTTTTTGGATTTTCTCCCCTTTTTTCCTTTTTTTTTAATACATGTGTTCCTCCCTCGTATTTGTATTAAATATGATCAAAAATTAAATTAAATTAAAAAAGTAATATAAATTTAATGATTGTTAAATAAAAAATACTTATGTCCTAAAAATACAGAGAATACAAAAAAATTCTCTTTTTTTCTTTTCGGCATTTTATTAGGAATCTTTTGAGGTAAGGCATGCATTTTTACCTAATAACTATTTTTTTTTATGAATCAATAAGAGCTCGTTTAGTTGGAGGATTCGTTCTCTGATTTGAATCATGGTTCATGGTTCGCTACAGTATTTTTTTTCACAAAAAATACATGTAAATCGAAAATAATTCTAATCTCATTGTTTTAATCCATAAATCAAACGGACTGTAACTATTGTTTTAATAGTTAAATTAATATTTTAACGGTCATATATTTACGTATCTATATTAAAAATTTATTGCAGGCGATATAGAATTATCTCTGTTCAACATCAAATTATTAAAAAACTAATTCAACGATTAATATACATTTCTTACAATATCGATCAAGTAAATAGTATTCTCCACCATAAATGCGTCCCATTTTATTTTAAGTTCTTGACACTATTGGTGGTCTTGAGGATTGTACTTGTCTCACTTGGATTGTAACATTAAGGAGGCCTTGGTACATGGTAATGACTTAGAGTCAAATTTTTAAGAAAGTGATAGAGGAAAATATAATTTTTAACAAAACTACATTATCACGTTTGGCCCTCCACAGTAAACTAACTACATGAAGGTTCTAAAATATATATAGTTTAACTACCATGAAGACTCTATTTTTTCCCTCCATGGTAAACTAACCATTTTAAGCAAACAAAAATACTAATCATTTTTAAGCAAAAAAAAAGGTTGTTTGTGTTTTGAACCGTTTTTTAAAACGATTTTCACGTATTTCAAGAAGCAAAAAATAAAAAATAAAACGAAACGATATTTGTTTAGCAAATGTTTTGAAAACGAAAACAGTGCAAATGATTTTTGTAAAGGAATTAGAAAACAATTAAAAGTTATTTTTACTTTTTTATTTTCATTTTTTAGTACTTCTCAATAATATTATAATATATTAATTAATAAACACGATTTCACTTTTTTATTATACTTAAAACAATCTCTTAAAAAAACCAACCAAACGCAATTTTAGAATCAGTCCCAGAATGATTCTCAAAACAATCTCAATTTTACTTTTTACTGAAAATAAAATCATTTTAAAACTAATTTCAAACGCACCATTACGACTTTAAGGAAGACAAATGGTAAAGACACAAACATATTTAAAAAACAAAAACTCAGAAAAAACGTATCTAAAATAAAATAAAATAAAAACAAATTGTGCTGTCCAGTCCAAAATTATTTTTTTCTTTCAGGACATATTTGTTTGTATCTCCTTTTTTTTAGAATTATTTATCCATATTAAGACCCTCACAAACCATCTTGTGTTCTATTTTTGTTAGAAAATAGATAGTTTAATAATGGAGAATGGCAAAAATTAGATATTTCACAAACCTCGTAATAACTTGACCATTACAAATAAGAAGTCAAATTGATACTGGAACATATTATTAGAAATTATTGGTAAAAGTTACCTTTTTATATTTTTCCCTCCTTTATTTGGATTCAAACACAAAAATTAAAACCTCACATGTATCTTATTTGAAAGAAAATGGGAGAAAGGACGGAGAAGATGTGCGAACTGCGAGAATAGAGCTGTAAATTTAGGACGAACAAAATAAGCCCGCTTGAAGCCCGCTATTATTCTCTTGGGCCTGATCCGGCCCTAATTTTCAGGATCGGCTAAGGTTTCGAGCCTGAAATTTATTCATATTGGGTCGGCTCGTCTCAAATGCCATCTTTTAAAGATTTTTTTTAAACAGTTCAAACAAACGAAAGAGGTTCTCATTGAGCTTGTAAAAGACTTGTTGCAAAACTTGAGGAAAACACAAATTATATAAGTATTTTAAATACATCATTTTTTTTTATTAATAAACTCTCTTAAACGTTTACTATAGAAAATATTTTGTTTAAAAATTTATTATCAAGAAATATCCTTTAAAATAGAAATTAAAGAAATTAAAGTCGTAATTTCATACTTGGATAATTTGGATCCTTGAATCGTTACTGGATAGTTAATTAGATAGGTTTATGCTGGTTTCTTAGTATCTTTAGCTACTTAGTAAATCCACTTAAATATTACAATCCTAAAATAATAAGCGTCGTATCAAAATAAACTTTCAAAAGTAGTATGCGCGGAAGCTTTCAGTGACTTGATCCATCATCTTTAGACTACATGTGCCATCTTGTCGGTCCGTCCATCCACGTCTTACTCTTAGATTAATAGTCATTTATTTTAGATCTACAATACAAGCCAATATGCAGTTTCATACATAGATGTTTTATAAAACAAATAAAACTTGTCTTGAAAGTCGTGAATTTACGCCCAACATACGGACATTGCGCTCAACGAACGCGGAACTAGGGGAGCGACCCTAACTAAGTTAACTCGTGGCATCATATTATAAAATAAACACGAAGAGACCTCTATCTTGGTACATAATATGGAGAAACCTTAGTCTCAATATGACGCTTAAAAAACATTTTTCATGCCTTATATTAAAACTATGATAATAAACATTTCATATCAAGTGAACTTAAAAGTTGAGTAACATAATTGAGTCACATAGATAGACATAAATAAGTACATGACTCATAAAATTTTTTCAATCAATATAGATATATTTTATGCTTGTAGATGTATACTTATACTTACATTTTTAAAAGAAAAACCTGCTCTTAAATAAAACAAGGATCGAGATCTTCAATTCTACGATGTTCATGGTGCTGTTATTACATCCAACATAATTAGTTATGTCCGCGGTGCTGTTAAGGAGAATTTTTTTATAATTAATCAAAAATTGAATTCAAAGAGGTGTTTATTTATGAAGTTAGATCAAATTAAGTGGCACAGCGCTATTAATTTTCCCATTTTGCACCATAAATGAAATCTGGTTTGCAAACATACCCTTAGAAGAAGACACTCAGAACACTTTCCAAGTTCCAAGTAGTAGTTGAGGACACTTCCCGGTGCTGCAACATGCCAACTTAGCCGCTTCCAACTTCCCCGGCACCGGCATCCTTCTAACCAACGAAAAAAAAAAAAAAATATATATATATATATAGCAATAAACAATAAATTTTTAAAAAAAAAAAAATCCTCTCTCTGTTTCAGCGTCAATAATGAGCTCATCTTCTCAATAATCTTTCTCAGCTAATCAAAATTCCCAAATTATTCTCCTTCATTTTCCCTCCATTTCCATACCCATGCCCAATTTCTAGGGTTTCTTAATCCCCCCCAACCATGGACGACAAACCGCCATTGAAGCTCCTCTCGCCGCAGGACTGGGAGTCTCTCATGGACGACTTCCAGTGCGGCGGCGCGCGCCGCGAGAAATGGACCGCCGCCTACGCCATCATCCCCTCCCTCGCCGATCAAGCACTGGCGTCTCTCCTCAAGCGCGATTTCCCTCTCAAGCTCTCCCTCATTCTCTTCCTCGAGGAGTTCTCCGATTCTCTATTCGCCGATTTCGATATCGATTCCCGCGAGATTTTCCTCCTCCGCCTGGTCGAAATCCTGCGCTCCTTGCTCCAGATGCCTTCCGATGGATTCGCGGTGAGTTTCTCTCTCAAAGAGCAAATCATGGTTTCCGTTACATCGATTTTGATCTCTCTCGAGACCGGCCTCGATCTGGGCCTAGTTAGGGTGTTGGAACCCTTGGTCGAGTCGTTGTTGACGGTTGTTAATCGACCGAATCACGGTTTCGATCGGCAGATTCGAGCTGTAGCGTGTGAGTGTCTGAGGGAATTGGAGAAGGCTTTCCCATGTTTGCTTTCCGATATTGCTGGTCACTTATGGAGTCTGTGCCAAAACGAGCGCACACACGCGTGTCAGAGTTACATTCTGTTGTTCACCTCCGTGATTCATAATATAGTTGTAGAGAGAGTGAACGTTTCAATTCTCAACAATTCTGTGCCTTTGGTCCCTTTTAGTGTGCCACAGATTCTGTTGAGTAACGAGGGTTCCGCTTCCTCTCCTGGGTTGAACTACAAGGAGTTGAGAAGGGCCTTGGCGTTTTTGCTCGAGTGGCCGCAAGTTTTGATGCCTTCCGCGATGATGGAGTTTTTGGGGATGATAATGCCTGTGGCGTTGGCATTGGAGTTGCAGGCTTCAATGTTGAAAGTGCAGTTCTTTGGGATGATTTATTCGTTTGACCCCATGTTGTGCCATGTTGTTTTGATGATGTACTCGCAGTTTTTAGATGCTTTCGATGGGCAGGAAGAAGAGATTGCCCATCGGCTCATGTTGATTTCCAGAGAAACGCAGCATCCTTTGGTGTTTCGATTGCTGGCGCTTCATTGGTTGTTGGGTTTTGGTGAATTGTTGTTGAGAAGGGGTGACGGCGGGAAATTGAAGTTGTTTGGTGAGATGGGCTCAAAGTTCTATCCGAGTGTGTTTGATCCCCTTGCTCTGAAAGCCATGAAGCTTGACATGCTTGCTTTCTGCTCCATTTGTCTTGATGTCATGAACTCCGACTCAGAGAGTGGGAAGTCAATGGTGAAGCTGTTTCAGGATGGTCTTATCTCTGTGTCAACCTTCAAATGGTTGCCTGCAAGGAGTACTGAAACAGTGGTCGCATTCCGTGCATTTCATAAATTCTTGATTGGTGCGTCATCTCATTCTGACGCTGATCCTTCCTCCACCAAAACACTCATGGATTCCACCGTCTTCCGAACTATGCAGGTACTGGCTTTTTTTTGTTAGTTGTTTCCTTGGTTCATGTCCACTTAATGTGGCTCTACTTAGTGTTGTCTGTATGGTTGTTGATATGTTAATTTTGGATAAATATTTCAAGACTTGTTGCAATGACATACTTCTTTTGCAACACAATTATATGCTTTAATATATCTTCTTCATATATCTGGTTTGCATTAGTTTGCTTTCCCTTTCAGCAGTAAACATTTTGTAAGATTTGAAAGCGCTTCTGCTACGTCGGTGATTAGTTTTATTTTCATGTACGAGAGAGTCTAACTAAATTGGTTAAGAGAAGATTATTGTAATCAAGATGAAATCTGAGCTTGTTCATCAGCTGGAATTGCTAGTTTTGAAAAGTTTGTCAGCTTTAACTGTTTGCGCCTCTAGAATACTTTTAGAGAATATTAGTTTTTTGGCGGCTCTACCTGCAGCTTTGCATTTGTCTCAACATTGATGGTTCCATCTTTGGTTTTCAGGGAATGCTAGTGGATGTGATGTTGGAGTGTCAGAGGCTAGTTCCAGTGATTGTTACTTTGATTGACCGCTTGTTAAGCTGTCAAAAGCACCATTGGTTGGGAGAGCGCCTGCTTCAGACTTTTGACGAGCATTTACTTTCAAAAGTCAAGATAGATTACATGTTGGTTTCTTGCTTCCCAATATTCGACAGAATTGCTGAAAATGATACAATTCCTCCACGAGGATTGTTAGAGTTTCTTACCAAGTTCACGGTGTTTCTTGTTGAGAAACATGGCCCAGATACAGGATTAAAATCTTGGTCTCAGGGAAGCAAAGTTCTTGGCATTTGTCGAACACTGCTAATGCACCACAAAAGCTCTAGATTGTTTCTTAGGTTATCTCGTCTCCTTGCATTTGCTTGCCTTTATTTCCCTGATTTGGAGGTTCGCGACAATGCGAGGTATTAAAAGTTCCTGCTTGTTTTATATTTGTTTCTTTGTTAAGTATGACTGTTTTTTGTTCAGTTACATGGTCCAATAAGTTTTCCTTCCCTATTAGCTGGTCTTTGATAATTTTTCCTTCCCCAATACATTGGATTTTGCAGGATCTATCTTCGGATGCTTATATGTGTTCCGGGAAAGAAGCTTAGGGACATGTTAAACCTTGGGGAACAACTCCTTGGCATTTCACCCTCTCCTGCCAGCTCATTTTTTAGTGTTCAGTCTCCTCGGTCCACACATAGTGTCAAAAAGCCAAGAAACTTATCATCCTATGTCCACCTCGAGCGTTTGATCCTCCTACTTGTCAAACAATCTTGGTCTTTGTCTCTGTCTCTGTCATCTTTGTCTGTTGGAAATAACAAGCCTGGTTATTTAGGGGACATCAAGGACCCGGAGCCCATAATTGAAGAAAGTGAGATTGATGGAAGTAGTAGTAGTACTATCCAGATTATACCAGAAACTGATAGGATCGATAAGCCAGAGCCACTACGTGTGATGGATTCAAAGATTTCTGAGATTTTAGGACAATTGCGACGGCATTTTTCTTGCATTCCTGATTTTAGACATATGGCGGGGCTTAAAGTGAGAATTTCTTGTAGTTTGAGATTTGAATCAGAGCCTTTTAACCGTATATGGGAAGTTGGTCCACCTGCTGGCGGTTTCGATGTAATAGATTCCCTTCCTGCTATATATGCCACTGTCCTCAAATTTTCTTCCTCTGCACCATATGGGTCTATTCCGTCATATCACATACCTTTTCTTCTTGGTGAGCCTCCAGCAAGTGATAACGTTTCTGGTCAAGGGGGTTCGTTAGATATTGTCCCTAAAGTAAATGGTTCTAGAGAAGACACAAGATTTAGAGCTCACGTGACAATTGAAATGGAACCACGGGAACCAACGCCTGGTCTGGTTGATGTTTTCATGGAAACAAATGCAGAAAATGGTCAGATTGTTTGTGGCCAGCTTAACAGTATCACGGTAGGCATAGAAGACATGTTTCTCAAGGCTATTGTACCACCTGATGTCCAGGAAGATGCAGTAGCTGGTTACTACTCAGATTTGTTCAATGCTCTCTGGGAAGCATGTGGTACTTCTTGCAATACTGGGCGGGAGACCTTCCAATTGAAGGGAGGCAAAGGGGTTGCAGCCATCAGCGGGACCCGTTCGGTGAAGCTGCTCGAAATCCCTGCTTCATCTCTGATTCAGTCTGTGGAGTGCAACTTGGCACCATTTGTCGTAAGTGTAATCGGTGAACCACTCGTTACTCTCGTAAAAGATGGTGGAGTCATTAGAGACATCATCTGGGAGGATGCGGCCTCCCCCGACGATGATGATGCTAACCAGAGGGATGATTTTGAGAGAGGCCCTCTTCATCTTACGTACATTGATGATACAGGTGAAAGAGACAGTGTTGTCAACATCAGTAAAAGGAACTTGGGATGCTTTCTTGTTTTGATATTTCTTCCACCTAGGTTCCATCTCCTCTTCCAAATGGAAGTAAGCGATTTTTCGACTTTGGTACGAATTCGAACCGATCACTGGCCATGCCTGGCTTATATTGATGATTATTTGGAAGCCTTATTTTTGGCATAGAACTTTTTTTTTTTTTCTTTACTGAGTGCCATTGCAATGAAGACGGCAGGTATCATCCTTTATTATCGATGCTGCTGTGAGTTCATAGGCTTTTTGTTTAATACTCATTCAATAATATTGTTTCATAGAAAGAGGGGTTAATTTTTGTACCCAGATTCGAATAAACGTGTGTAAATACCTCTGCCGGTGAGTCCTTGTATTATTTTTTTGTTTGCGGGAATTTTAGAAATTAAAATTTTGGCGTTATTTTTTTGTTCATCTGCTTGGGAGTAGTCACTCGAGTTATTGAGGGTCCGTTTAGTTCGTTGATTCGAGTTTTTAATTTGAGTTGAGATGTGACTTTATATGAGAGTTTTTTACTATAATAAAAAAGTTAAATGTGATTATTTATGAGAATTTTTTACTGCAGCAAAGCTCGAATCGGTAAAATGAACGGGGCTTAAAATGTTGTCTATTCTAAGTCAGTTTTAGCAATTAATAAGAATCAAAAAATTTACATAAATTGTGAGATTTCGGAATGTCATATCTTATTTTTTCAATATAGAAAGGAAATATATGCAAGATAACTCTTTTATGGATTTTCTCTGGTGTTTTCTTATTTTTAGGAACAGAGGTCACTAGTGTTTTTTATTTTTTAGCCGTCAAATCTGTATCAAAATTTGTATATTTTGCATATTTTTTTAATTTGATGTAATTTTAATAAGATTTAACGGCTAAAAAAATGAGAAATATTAGTGTCCTCTTTTTAAAGTATACTTTTAGCAAGAAAAATTAGTTTTTTCTTTATTTTATTAGTGTATCTGAGAATTAGTGAATCTAACGGTGGCTCCAAAAATTTAAGAATCAATAATTTACAGAGAATTTGGTTAAAATAATCAAGTGAAAAAGTAAAATTAGGAAAATGACTTTTTAATTTTAATTTTATTTATTTCCATGGAAGAAGAGGATGAGAGAGAAACAGATCCATAGCTCAAGAGCGAGAGCTGCTCTCGCCATGGCTTCGTTCGCAGCAACAAACACAGAGAGAGATCTAGATCTCAACAGCGCCTTCCCTTCACTTTCTCTCTCTAAAATTCACTTTCTCTCTGTAGAACCGTCTCTCTGTGATTTTGGTGTTACTGGGAGTCTCTCAGAAATGGGGTGAGTTTTTCTTTAAAAATACGAGAGAAGAACCAGAGAGAGAGGTGAGAGATTATCATATTTTAAAAAAAAGTTATTTTACAAATAAAAATTTTTAAAAAGTTATTTTACTAATAAAACTTTTCTATTGAGTTATTTTTACAAAGATTTCTGAGAATTAGTGAATCTAACATATGTTGATAAATCAATAAATAATCAATCAATATTTTATTGAAAATCAATCAATGATTTACATAAGCTATTTTTTATGAGAAAAAGGGGCATTTTTAACTTTTAGAAAAACCATAGACCTCTTTTGAGGTTCGCTTCTCTCTCTCTCTCTCTGTTTTTTTTTTTTTTTTTTTTTTTTAAATGCTTTAAATGAGGACTGCCATTTGAATCCTCATTTAACCTGATTTTTTATTTTTTTCCACACAATTCCTCACGATCCAAATGGAAAGAAAGAGCTAACACAGGGCATGGAAACGTAACTTCAAATCACTTCCTTGTGGATCCCACCGGCACTTTTCTTGTTTCTCTCCCTAGTCCCATATCTGGTTCTTCGTTTCCAAAATCAAAATGAGGTGGTGGGTTTGAGTTGAATATTTTTATTTTTATTTTTTTATTTAAGTTTGAGTTGAGTTTTTTCTAACTTAACTTATAACTCACTCAATCTATTTATATATAAATAATTTTTTTCTACCTCATAAGATATTGTTACCATATATTTTACATAATTACTTGACATGTTATGTTTTATGTTGTATGAGTTATTATTATTATTTGTTTGTTTGTTGATTTTTATAACTTATGTACATATATTTTTATTTTTATGTTGGCTTATAACTTATAAGATAATTTTAAAACTTTATGAGACTAATATTATAATGAAAATTAACTTTCGTTATATATATATATATATATCTTATTATGAGTTAAATAGTTAGCTTTATTTATTTTTGTTATTTTATGATGTTCAATCCGCTCAACCTACTTAAATTTTAATTGAGTTAGTTGATCTTAAACTTTACGTTGATTAAGCATGGTGAAATTTGAAACCAACCCACCCAAACTTAATTAGGTGGTGTTTGCTCACAAACGTACGGTGTTAAGTTTTAATAGTAAAGGGTGAGTGAGTATCGTCTCCATAGAAACTGGGTATTAAATTATCACTAAGTACTGCGATTATTGTAACTCAATTTTATCTAAGTAACCGAACTAAATGAAATAAAATAGAACTTAAATGGATATAAATACAAAAATAAGATAAAATAAAGAAACTTCTATGCACAAATGTACTAGAAACTTGACTTTACCTTAACATTCCTATGTTCATCCTATTAAGCCAATGCTAGCCCATTCTACTCAATTCATTAATCAAGGGACCTAATTTAATATCACTACCTTTCCCGAATGTCAAACGAAGTCATATGCATAAATATCCGAATCAATATTCCTATCTAACACATTTTCTGATACACTCATTAAGTTTAGCCCTTAAATTAGAACTCAAATGTCGATTGCCTCCTGACCTCACAACAATCGAAATCCTAGTTGATAATTAAGGTTTTGATCACCTCCCGGTCTCACAATATTCTAGACTCTCAACGAGATGATCTAAGTATTGATCTCCTTCCAAACTCACAACAACTTAGATTATGTTTCCCAATTTCGGACTATGAAATCAAGCTCTCCCGAGCATCAAAATTACAATCTAAAATTATCTAACTCATTGACCACATAAATTAGAAACATTAAGCATAGAGAAACATAAATAAATTAAAATGGAATTTAAACTAACAATTGACAAAATATTCAAAACATAGTTCAAACAAGGTTACATCAAGTCCTAGAATAATAGTCTAGCTCAACATAGAGGAATCCATAACAAAAAAAAATCTAAAAACTAAAAAGGAAATAAAGGGAAAAGAAAGAACTATGTTGGAAGAATAATCTTCAAAGCTTGAATCCACCATATTCTTCAAGGATCTTCAATGAAATAATGGGATTTAAGCCTCCAGAGTTCGTTCTTCTCCAAAGAATTTGTGCCTCTTTTCCTCTCTTCGTCCACTCCTTTGATTGAGTCTTCATTTTCCTTCTATACCTCCTTGAAATGTGAGCAAAATCAGCCTCATTAAGTCACCAACACGTAAAAATTGACTGCAGCGGGAAAAATCCCGCTACAGCATTGACAGAGAAAACCTAAGAAACCCTAAATTCCTACTGCAGCGGTTTGGCTATTTCATAGCTTTCTGTATAGATTATGGCAGCAGGAAATAAAATGGATGTAGTCATAATTAGTCTCCAGTGCTCTCTATGAAGATTCTGGCTACAGCGGGAAAGAACTGGATGTAGCCAAAATTTGGCTCTTTTGACTCCAATAAAAGCTCATTTTGAACCCTTCATTTTTTTCAAGCATACAACCTACAAAATAAAACTAAACACACTATGAACACATGAAAAACACAGTAAACCAACAAAATTTGCTAAGAATGGAATGTAAAATAATTCAAACTATCAGGTGGGTTAAACAATCTCAAAAATCCACCTAATCCACTTGATGTTTATCTTCAATTTTTGTTCTTAACAATTGACAAACAATTTTTAAAATTTAACAAAGATATTCATGTGTCTATTGTGTAAAATTTACAGAAAGAGTTAGGTTATATGCAAAACATTTTTTGTCACTATTAAAACCTATTAAAAACGATAAATTACTATAACTTTTGTATAAAATTTTCTATTATTATGCGATAATGATGTGATTATTTACATTAAATTTCAAAAATTGCAAGTCAATTTTACTAGTAGGATTATTTCTGTCAAATAATAAAAAATTAGAATAATATGCTAAAATTATAAGTTGACACAAAATTACAATTTAGGACTAATTGAGCTAATAACTATAAATAAAGATAAACATTCTCCTATTATCTTCATTGGATTATTTTCATAAATACCCATGAACTATATACCTTATTTTTAAATACCTTCTAATTTTTCAAAACGATCTAAAACACCTTTTGATATATATAGAATAGATCAAATTGCTCATTTTGTCCAACTTTGTCTATAATTTTAACGGAATGCTGATGTGGCAAGGTTTAGAAAATGTATTTTATGATATAAATTCTTATTATGACAAAAAATTAAGGAGTAAATCATTTTGGTATCCTATATTATAGCGGAACATGCTCTTAGTATGTCGTATTTTTTATAATATTAAAATAGTATAATGAGTTTTTAAAAACATCTTCTTGGTACCTTGGAGTTAATTTTTAGATATGTAAATGTCAAAATTACCCTTCTTATCGATTAATAGAAATCAATATATTTTTTAAAAAAATATGAAAATATTTTAAAACATTAAAATATTTAAAAGAAAATAACAAAATAAAAAAGTTCATGATTTTTTCTTAGATCTATTACGCTTAGTTTGGTAGTGCTGTAGATTTTGAAAAAATTACTTTTAGTTGTGCTGAAGGAACAAGCAGCTGTTAGAAAAAGCAGCTGAGTGTTTGGTAAACTATAATTATAGTAGCTGTGTAGGTTCTAAAATTAGTGTAATAACGTTTGATAAATTATGAGGTTAAATTGCTGTAAATAGTTAAAAATTACGACTATATTATATTATACTATAATATAATATATAATTACAATATAATATATATTTTTATTATATTTAATATAATAAAAACTATTATTATATAATATATTATATAATTATGATATAGAATATAATAATATTATTAAAAT